CTGTTCACATTCACTAAGTTACAGAATCACCCTAGAGCACATCACCAGATAAATATATATATATATTCCAATATATTTAAATATATAAAATAAATGGATACTATATATTGTATATAATAGAGGTTTCATCTATACTGTTTTGCACAAACACAGATATAAAGTATTATTCCATAAAAGAAAGAAATTATGCCATTTGAAAGAAAATGAGTAAAACTAAATTTAACATGTTACACAAAATGAGTCATATATGGAAAGTTAAAGATTGTATATTGTCTCTAATACATTGGGAAGAAATAAACGGGGGAAAGGCTATCTATCTGAAGGTCAAAGAGGGATTACTGAAGAATAGGAAAGAGATGAAGGAAGAGGGGCAAAAGAGATTTTTAGGAAGAGTGGGTATGATCAAAGCACATTACATGAATGTATGAAAATGTCTCCAAGCCCATTAATATGTTCTAATAATTATAAGAGAAAGAACTGGTTCTCCAACCAGCCTGTATGTACATCGCTTTGTCAACTAACTACATTCTATGATGAAAATATCTGTTTTCATTCTGAACCTAGAAAGCTAAGATACGGAGATTTTTTGCTTTACCACCTCTTATGACCTTCAGTTCTAGAATTCTGAACCTCTGCTTTGCTGCAGATGGGATTACAAGGGACATCTCATAAAGACTGTTTTGACACCAGAGAATTTACTCTATAAAGTGAGCATACAAAGAACAGCCACTGTGGTTACCCATTCATTAGAAAATAACTTCAAGTTTAAAATAATAGCATATAATTTCATAATAAAATAGTAAGTACATCCTACTTTTTAATAGAAATGACTATGTGAACCAGTAAGATTGGTTTAATGTGGCAAAATGCTTGCTTTTCACTTGTCTCTAAATGCTGATTTATGTATAATGTTGCAGTCACAACTCAATACTTAAGTTTTCCCTCTCTAACTGGCTTGACCAGAAGACTTATAGAGCGGGATGTGAGTACTGGAAAGACCTCCTAGAACACGACCTGGACTATCACTATGGAAGGGAAGGAACTTATTTAAGATGGCTCAGAGAATATTTCTTGTATCCAACTCAACTGTTATTGCTACCTGCCTCCTTTCCTTCCTTTTTCCTTCTTCTTTTGGTACAGAGAACTAAATCCAGAATTCATGCAGCTAGCTCCTCATGCACTGTACCAGTGAGCCAGCTCTATCTGTCACCCCATGGTTTTATTTCTGCACTGGAGAAAAGAGTTTTCAGAAAAATGTGGCCATATGTTTTATTTTTACAAATATATATTATATATATATTTATATTATATACACATATAATATATATGGTAGTTTTACATGATTGGCTATAATGATCTTTATATTATAAAAAGGTGTACTAGGATTGAAAACAGAAAATACCAAAGAATTCTCACATGAACCTCCCATCAGTATCTGGTCATATAGCCCAGAAACCCAGATATTCCTCCTCCATCCTGCATATAACACATAAACCTATATAGTTCTCCCCTTATCATACATGTAGCAGAGAAACCCAGATAGTCCTCCTGCCCATTCTGCATGTAGAAGAGAAGCCCAAATAGCCCTCCTGTCCACAGGGAATGTAGCAGAGAAACCCAGACAGCCCCCCCCCATCATGCATGTAGTAGGGAGACCCAGATAGTCCTCCCCCAACCTGCATGTAGCAGAGAAACCCAAATAGTCCTCTTCCCATTCCAGCGGTGGGTGAATAAGATCAAAATAAATTGTACAAAAATCTCAAAGAAATCATTTTAAACATGAGAAAAGAAGACCATCCATTCCATGTTCTTGTATTGGGGAGGCCTAGAACTTGGTAGTTGGAGAGTAATTTCACACATATTTCTTTCCTTCAAGTCCTATCTGAGTTATAAGAAAGGTACCACCAGAAGGCTTCCTTCTCAATATAAAGGAGGCCTCCCAATGCCCCGAGAGTAGGGGACACCTTGGAGGCAGCCTGTGAAACCACGCAAAAGGCCAATGTGACTGTGTCAGAGTGGGAAGGCTACTGAGAACCTTGTCAGATCTTCAAAAATTTTTTCTCATTTTTTTCATTCTAACATGTAACAAAAAGTGATGAAGTATAATTTAAGACTGAGTATTAAATTTAACTCTATTGAAATCTCAGCTCTATCTTATAGCATTAAATTAATTTATAAATGATTCTGAAAGATTAGAAGACCCAAGTTCTCAGCACCCATGAAGGGTGGATTACAACTGCCTATAACTTTGGCTCCAGGGATCCCATATTCCTGTCCTTTGTGGGCACTTGCACTCCTGTGTACATACCCACCTTAGCACAGACACATACACACACACATGTATGCACACAAATAAAATAAATTCTCCATGGGAGGCCTGCCCCTTTCTGAAGGGAGACAGAGGAGAACTGGATGGTGGGGGTTGATGGGAGGTGGGAAGAGAGAATGGGAGGAGAGCTGGGAGGGGAAACAGTAGTCGTCATGTAAAATAAATGAAGAAATAATAAAAAACAACAACAAAAAATAACTCCTCAAGACTGTGCAACTTTTGATAAAATTAATGTTCGAGATCAAGTTTGAGCTAATCGATCTTCTAGCAGCTCTATGTTGAGGGCACACACAGGCTTTTCATTCTACTGCACTGGACACGGTGCATCTGATTCTCTGGTGCTGAGTTCCCTGTGCATAGAGGATGGTTGACGCCAGCCCTGACTGACTTTAGACCTGACTTCCACCCATAACAGATAAACTATCTCCCGACACGTCCATTTGTTACCGAAGCAAAGTTCCCTGTACTTTGAGAACAACTCTGAAATTTCTCACCACTGCTTGATACAAATTTAAACCTCTGGGAAGCAATTACTACTTAAGAGGTATGCTTAAGGGGGCTGGAGAGATGGCTCAGAGGTTAAAGAGCATTGCCTGTTCTTCCAAAGGTCCTGAGTTCAATTCCCAGCAACCACATGGTGGCTCACAACCATCTGTAATGGGGTCTGGTGCCCTCTTCTGGCGTGCAGGCATACACACAGACAGAATATTGTATACATAATAAATAAATAAATATTTTTTTTTTTTAAAAAAAGAGGTATGCTTAAGTACTATCATAGCCCCAGGAAAGGTGCATTAGTCCATCACGTGGGATGGAGATAGGGCTCCACAGTAGAATGCTTGCCTACCACACTCAAAGCCCTGGGTTGGATCCACAGCACAACAAAACAAAAGTACCACCTGCACTTTTGCATGTACACAAAGAGTCACAGAAATCTTTCTTCATACAGAAAGAGAGAAAATTGAATAGACAGATACAAGAAGCAGAACTAACAGATTAAAACTGCCCTTTTGAATCTTCAGAAAAACTGTGTGGTAAACTTAATCTACTCACCTTTCTTCACGTAATTTTCGCACTCGCTCAGCCCGCTCTCGCTTCTCTTGCTCCTCAAGAGCTCGCTGTTCAGTTGTGTCTTTTTGGATGCGCTCACTTAAGGCATCAAAGTCTTTTGCAATGATGTGTAGTAGCCAATAAAGCCCCTTTTTAATGGACTTGTCAATTTTCTTTCCATAGCCCAGGACTGCTGAACAAGGTTCCTAGAACAAATCATTTGACCTAATGATTAAAACTAAAAATTCTCCACATGAAAATATTCATAAACCATCACATAACATTATTGATAAAGTAAAATTTAAGTTAATAATATAACTTAATAATTTTTAATCTAATATTATAACTCCCAAAACAGTTTTCAATGACTAAATTTAGTACTACCAGAAGTTGAAAATAATTATAGGTATTATCTATGTTACATTATGAATAAAATGAGAGGACCAGATAAATTTTATGAAAGTTTACTGGACGATAAACTGAACTGCCCTGAGAAAAGCGCTGTTATTTATTAAGCACACCTGGGAGGACCAGGCGCAGTAGTACACACCTTTCTACCCAGCACTCTGGAGGCAGAGGCAGGTACATAGATTTTTTGAGAGTTTGAAGCCAGCCAGGGTGACATAGACAGACTCTGTCTCAAAAAATAAAAGGAGGGTATGGGGGGAAAAATGTAAGTTGTAAATTCTTATGCTGAACCAGGCAAGGTGGCTCACACTTTTAATCCCAGCACTCAGGAGGCAGAGGCAGGTGGAACTCTGTTGAGTTCCAGGACAACCAAATGCAAAAACTCTTTCTTGGAAAAACAACAAACAAGCAAGCAAAGAACAAAGAACAAAAGAAAATTCTCGTGCCAATTAAGTTACAGCAACAGACACATTTATAAGCCTTATAATCTAACGATCATTTCCTGAAATAAATCCTCTATTGTACTCCTAAAGACTGTATGACAACTCATAGACTGTTGTAACTTTTTAAAAATGATATTAAATTTCTTATGTCAAAATTTTATTTTTTATAGATTTTTTTCTAATTTCCAAAATTTGCAACATGAAAGTTTACTGGTTCTATCAGCAATATCTACAAAAAAAAAACCATAAGAAATTTAGACATAATGCAGGAAGGTTTCTCAAAGTCAATGAAAACAGAAGAAATATTATAGTATTAACTACTATAATCTGAAAATGACAGAATGGTATATGGCATAAAAATTATTTCAATAGTGTTCTTATTATCTTTTTATATTTATTTATTAATATGAGGGTGCAATCACCACAGCACAAGAGGTCAGGAGACAACCTGACTCCTGTCTGCTGTCTCCTACACGTGGATCCAGGAACTGAGTGGTGAGCCTGGATGCTTTTCTCAGCTAAGTTATCATACAGCACAGCCCCAAAAGGTTGTTTTCTAGTTGACTATCACTTTTATAGAAACTATGTTTTCTGAACAAAATTAAAAAGTAATAATGAAAATTAACAACAACAACAACAATAATAAACAACTTACTATCTGGCACAGGCACTTGTGCTCATTGACCAGCTTTTCCAGAGAGAGACACTCAATCACATCGGCTTCACCTAAAGCCCCCTCCTTGTCTTGTTTATTTGCCAACCTAGGAACACAGACGAACTGGTTGGTTACAGAGCAAATGTACAATCATGGCAACGGAAGTGTCCGTTTCATGGTCTCTGTTCCTAAAACTTAAATCTACTGAGTTTAGAATAAGCTGGTTCAGGGATTACTGTAGCATATAGCATAGATGTCATAACTTTTCACAGTTACTGCTCTACAATCCACTGTGGAAGTACTGGCTACTAAAAACAGCAAAAACAACAAGTACAAGCAACCACTAGACAAATAATAAAAACTACCAATAGAAGAAGCAGTCAACTTCCCAGCGCCCACAGACAACAATCCAGACCTTTCCTTCTTGAAAACAATGCTGGTGAGAATGTGAGTTCCAGTCCATGTCACACCAGAGTAACTGGACGAAGCAACGACGGAAATCAATATAGACACTTTTCCTGTTCCACCCCATTCTAGACACAAGCATTTTCACTATTTCTTAGTTCAGCTTCATGTTGTTTCTGTTCGAAAATATAAACATATTTTTGGGTGGTATTTCAAAGTTTACAACTGAGCACTGTGGAGAACATATTTCTTTCGTACCATGATTTTTTTCCCTGGACACAAAATTCAATCCTGAAATTATCTTGATGCAGAATAAAGAAATCGGGACTTGACTCTGATTTGCAAAGGGACACATCATACAGGTGATCCAGTGTCCATTCACCAATCCTGCATGGAAGGATTTCTTCTTCATCTTCACAGAAGAGTACTGGGAAGGAGTGGTTTTATTTGGATAAGGAGGGGAAGAGAACAGACTTGAGGGAGTGGAAATCTAAAGACAATCTAAATTTTACTTTAATTGCAGCAGGTGTTCATCCCACATCTTCAGTGGGGGTGGGAACACCAAAAAACTAAAGGGTTAGAAATAGGACACTATGGAAGAATTTCATTCCTACATTTTCCTGTAAGTACTTCTTCCTGGTAGAATTAATTTTGAATTTCAATACTGGCATAATAAACAGTAGTACCATATAGCTGTTATTCTACATTGAACATTATAGAAACTAACTCTAAAGTAAAAACAACAGTATAGAAAGAAAAGTGAAGCGGAAGTTTCGAAGACAAAAGTCTTCTAATTTTGTGAGTTAAGCCCTGTGGGATTTCCAAGAAGAGACTTCAACCATAAATGGAATCCAAAACGCTGCACATGAGGCTGCATTCCATTCCCGCTCATGCCTACTTCATTCTGTACTTTCACGTTTTGAAATCTCCAAAGAAACCTCTGTTTAGATACACCAGCAGTTTCTGGAAGTAAGGCATTCTGCAGGTAGTGTGGACTAGCAAAGTACAGAGAATGTACTCAACCTGTGTGGGCAATTTAACAAGGACTTCCTGTTACCAAGGACTTCCAGTGAAAAATGATCTCCCTTTAATCTAAGGAACAGGGGAGAAACAGGCAGAACCAGATTCTCCAGGTGTGAAGTAAGCAATCCGCGCTCCTCATTTGATAGTAACAGCAAATGTACAACTTTATCTCCAATGTATTTGACTTCACTGTTTGGCTTTCAATTAACTGTATGAGAACCATAAAGAAAGCCCGTGCCTTAGAAGTGATTTAAGCACCGGGATCGAGCATTACACCCCATGGCACTCGGATTCTCTCTCAGATTAAGAACTCTAACACCACGGGTGGGAAAACAAGAACAAGACAGTAAGGTAAGTGAATTGGTGTGTGTGTGTGTGTGTGTGTGTGTGTGTGCACTATTTAAGGTGAAATATGTACAAACTGAAATGCAGGTATAGATGACAGGAAAGAATCGTTCAGCAGGTCCTTCAGTTTACTTTTTAGAACTGCACAGAGCTGCAAGCAGCTGACCTGTCCTGGCTATGATGACCAGAAGAGGCTTGAGGTCGAGTACCAAGCTTGACGAAATCCTTACTCTAATTCTATAAAAACGACTTCTCACTTTAGAAACATTAGAAAAGCAGATTCTGTGAAAACAAATCTGAAAATCTTTTTTTAAACACAGTAAATTAATAATGCTATGTTTATTTTAGAAAGGACTTAGGACTTCCACACTTAATTCTGAACAGAACTTTATGTTCAAATTTGACAGAAAATATTAATTTCTCTATTGTTATTTCCCAGGATATGCTAAAACTGATTTGAAGAAAATTTAAAATGGTTTTGTTGGAAAAGAAGTACTATAAAATATCAAAGCACTCAAGCATTTTAATGTTATAGACAGTATGTCCAAAGTACTTAAATTAAAAATTTATCATAGATTTTTCAAGTTATTAGGTCAACTTAATATATAAATTGGGGCCATTTAAATGTGATGAATTTCCTAAGTTATGGCTGTTCCTATATGTGACTTTAATAAATACTCATTTCAAATCAACATATGACTTTCATAAGTACTTTCAAAGGAGATATGAAGTTAGCCATGTAATGTGCAAACAATGCCTCTTCAAGGCATGCACTTTAAATATGAAGACCATTTCATATCTATTCAACTTCTCTGAATCAGATAAGTAAAAGTTAAAAAATATCCATCAACAACTAACTCTTAATAAAGTTATGATCTTACTATTTAGTTCAACAAGACAACTAACATACCCACATCAAATTGAAAGAAAGAATACTGAAAGAATACATTACTGAAAATGTCAGTTAATTCAAGCTTAGAAAATATATAAAGTAAGATCTCCCACTTTTAACCTTGAGCTAGAAAATGCTGAAAGTTGCCTCTATATACAAGAACAAAATATATTTCTTGAAGTACTTATTAACATAATAACTACAGAGAATTTACTATAAAAACCCATAAGCATATTAAACATGTATCCCATCATGTATTTTTATTTTAATTTTTTTTATTTTTTTATTTACTATTATTATTATTATCATTATTGCTATTTTGGTTTACAAGACAGGGTTTCACTGTGTAGTCCTGGATGTCCTGGAACTCACTTGTAGCCTAGGCTGGCCTTGAGCTCACACAGATGCGCCTGTTTCAGCCCCACAGTGCTACTAATGCGGTGTTCACCACCACTGTCCCATGGTTTACTTCTCCTGACTCTGGGTATTGCATATTCACGACTGTCTCTAGGAATCTGCATTCTCTCTAACAGTGTGGGGAGTTCCTTTGAGTTACTCCTATTTACTTCTCTCTTTCCCACAAGGAACTATGACATGTTATTATCACATGTATCAACCATCGTTTTTTTTTTTCTTTTCTAAAATACCATCCTTAAACTCACTGGTATAGTAAACATTATAGGTGAAATTCAAACCACATAGCAAATTCAAAAAAGCGCAGTAGTAAATTAACCATACTGATGATCCTATCTTCTACAGGCAGAATACTGCCACACTATGAAAACTGCATAAAATAATGAGCTCATGGATTTCATCTAGCCTAACCAATTCAGTGACTTCTTATTGTATGCTTACGTTAACTGTAGCCAAAATTTAAATTCTACTATGCATAATTCTAATTTATGGATGCAAAATTAAACTGGAAACACTTGTACATATAGTTATAAACACCAACAGCTAAAAAATGCACACATACAGCATTTCAGTGCACCTGAGTACTTAAAATAAGCGAATTTCTACATGGACAAGGAAAAATTGGAAGAAGATTATAAATATGATAACACGGTAAAGGTCATCACCTATATCTTCATCAAGGTAGACAGTTATTTGACAAGTGGTTCCCCTTTGTGTGTAGTATGGAAAGATATCTGATATAAACTTAACTTTAAAAATACCAATTTAAAACTCCCAACAGCGTTTAAAACAGTAAAATCTAGGAGGCTCTAGAAATGAAGAGCGAACACATCCACAGTTAGGAGCAGAAGTTAAACACAACTACATTGGCTACTAGAATAAAATAGTCTATCTTAGAGGCTGGGGCTTAGGGTTTACATTACAGGAAATAAAACTGAATTTCCTGGATGACCTAGGGAAAACAGACACCACCTAGATAATGGTGGGCAAATTCCATGGCTCTAGTGGGAGCAACCAAACAACCTTAGATTGAATTTGTAACTTAGAAAGGCATTGAGGGCATTCCCGCATAATAAAATACCTCAAGAGACAAAATAAATATACTTGTCCACCTTCAAGACAGTAGCTAGAAGTTAATGGCCACTCGAAAGAAAAGAATTCATTACCAAGAAAAATAACCCAATAATAAAAAGAAACTTTAGCATAAATACATTAGATATTACATAGAAATAAACTGGCAATATAGTAGTCATCAAAAATGATGCACACCATATATACATTATAGCTAACCACATAATCATCATCTACTTTATATGCATGCCCTGGTATACAGCAGCAAAAAGAAGCCTAATTCTATTTACATGTTTGCATTTCCAAATCAATAACATAGTGACCTAAAGAAAGAAATGTTCGAGTATTTACTTGTATTTTGTATGTACAATTGGCATATGCATGAATGTACACGTGTGCATTTGCACACCCCTCTGCACGTACTAAAACAACCAACACTTCAGGAAAAAGCTTGAAAAAAAGCAGGTCCATGGCATCAATAATTTGCTTCTAGCTTCTTAAAGACGAAAGGGTCATCCCATCCTAAACATGTTAGAGAAGGTGTTGTAATGCCCAGGACTTGACTAGATATGGAGATGGCCACAGTCATAAAGGTGGAAGTGACGTCTCCAAGTAAGCAAGTTGGAGACCAGAACCCTTGTGAACACACACAGACATGAATGTGAACAAGAACCATGCCGAAGTTCAATGCAAGGCTTGAGAATAGTCATTGCAGTGCCATACCTTGTTGGGCAAAACAAAATTATGCACAATTTTTTACAAATGAAATTTAAATTTTGCAAGGAATTATAAGTTAAATTTATTACAAAGCTAATAATCTTTTCACTGTAACTCTGAAAATTTGAAATTAAGGATTTAGACTCTTAAAATTGCATTAAGGGTTATATTGACTCTAATTAACTGTAATTAATTATAATCCATAATTACATGTAATATATGACATAACTTGATTAGTATAATTAAAAGACAGGAAACTGCTGATACATATCTATAACCTCAGTGCTTGGAAGAAGAAGCAAAAAGGATTATGAGTTCAAGGATAGTTTGGATGAAATAGCAAGACCTGTCTCAAAAATCCAACAGCCAGTGCTGGTAAGATGGCTAACAAGCAAAGGTGACTGCTGTTAATAATGACCTGAGTTCAGCTCCTTGTAATACACGACGTAGAAAGAGGGAAACAACTCCCAGGTCCAGAACTTGTCCTCTAACCTTCATACATGGGCTATGACATATACAGGACACACACACACACACACAAAGGCATGCACATATGTACAACACTACACCACTAATTATATAATAAAAGGAAAACTACAAAAATGAGTTACAAAATCTTTTACATACAATTCATTGCTTTAGTTTTGAAATATTTTCTCATCAAAACTACTGTTTTCATTTTAATAGAGGACATCAGTAATAACAGTCTGGATATTACTCAGTATATTCATTCTGTTTTATATCTTAGACCCTTGGAAAAGGGGTAAGAAATATTTCTTGAAGATATGCATGATACACAGATCCATAGTTACATTCCTAAAATAATATCTAATCTTACAGTCGGGTGGTGGTGGCGCATGCCTTTAATCCCAGCACTCGGGAGGCAGAGGCAGGCGGATTTCTGTAAGTTCGAGGCCAGCCTGGTCTACAAGAGCTAGTTCCAGGACAGGAACCAAAAGCTTCAGAGAAACCCTGTCTCGAAAAAAAAAATCTAATCTTACATTCCTCTGTGACTAATTTTCATTTCACAAGTTTTCTACATGTATTATAGAAAATTATTGCTGTTCACTTCTTTATCAGATGGTAGAGAAATTACTCCTCACAAGGAAAGTTGAAAAGAGAATGAAGAAGATGATAGGCAAGAAGAATCCACTTGCTGTGTGCCTAAATAATCCTTCCCTTCTACTTCTAGGTTCTTCCTTTTCCACTAAGAGTCACTAAGGGGAGTTTCAGGCACAGTGGAAGAGTTTAAGTGAAATTTGTAATGAAATAAGATGAGCGTGAGAGGATGTGAAAGAGGAAACGACACTCAGGAGACTATGACAGTAATCCAAGTGAAATACTAATGTCTTGGACCAGACTGGAAGAGGTGGAGGGCTCCAAACACACTAAGTAAGAAAGGCTGAAAAGTTTTATTGTTGTTTGGAAATGAGCTAAAGTATAAAATACTGAAGAAGAAAAAAAAAAACACTCAAGAATGACTCAAGCTTTTGGATTGGAGTCACTGAAAGAAAAGAGCAGCCACTGACTGAGCTAGAACAATCTGGGCACAGAGACAGTGAACACTCATTTCAGATGTACACACCTTAATGGGACTCAGCAAGCAGACAGGGGTTTTAAGAGGAATCCAGACCGGAGAACCAACCTGGAATCAACAGTATTTGGTACCAATATTAAAAATAATGGAGGACAATATTCACTTTATAAGCATCCCAATATTCAGAGGTAGGAGAGATTAAAAGCCAGGAGCCTGTGGGAGGGTGGGAAAGAAAGAACCAGGGATAAAAGGTAAAACGCTTCTTTGGACACTGTCTCAAAAACTGATTTAGTCAGCTGTGGCTGTAGTCATATTGCTTCTACCTTCAGAAACATGTTCCAATGATTACCATGTATTCTGTCTCTGTTTTTATTATTCAACTCACTCATGAACCATTCTGCGATCCTGGGAAACAATCCTATACAAAACAAGTTAAAACAAGCTTTGGAATGCAAAATTCATGCCAATGCCACATTTGCTCTTCATGTGTTTCCTGCTGAGCCTATGGTAAACTCACATGCCTTATCCTGCATACAACTCAACTACCATCTGCTTCCTATCTACCTGTCTGATTTCTTTCCCCTGTTAATTTTCCTTCTCTTAGTTTCTATCTACACAGGCATTAATTTTGTCCTGAAAGTACAACAGCCTCAGGCTGGAGAGACGGTTCAGCAGTTAACACAAAGCACCATCCCTGAAGAGAACGTGAGTTCCATTCTTAGCACCTGCATCAGGCACCCACAGTCACCTTTAACACCAGCTCCTCGGCATCCAACACCTCTGGCCTCGACAGGCACCTCTAGTCATATGCAAGCCTCCATTCAAACACACACACACACACACACACACACACACACACACACACACGCGTGCGTACACATAATTAGAAACATTTTTTTAAATACATCGGTCTTATATTGGTTTGGTATTTTATCTCCTATAGAGAGCCTATACTCCTTATCTCTTCACCAATATTTATATTCACCTTGTCTGACTTCTCAATATTTAGAACTCACAACCCAAATATCTCCTTAAAGTCCTTGTGTAGCAGGCTTTCTTTCGGGCCACGAACCAGCTCCCAAATCTTGACACACAGACTTATTAGTTACGAATACTCAGCCTTATCTAATGCTTGTCCCACTAGCTCTTACAATTTAAATTAACTTGTTTCTTTTCATCTACATTTTGCCTTGGTGTATTTTACCTTTCTTTCATTCTGTATGTCTTAACTCCATGTATATAGCTTGCTGGTGAGTGCCTGGATAAATGGCCCTGCTCATTTCTCTCTCTTTCTCCCTCATTCTCTCTTTTCTTCTCTCTTCTCTCTGGAGCTTAGATTCCTCCTCCTACATATTCTCTCTGCCCACCAGCCCCACTTATTAGTTATTCAGCTTTTTATTAGACCAATAAGGTGCCTTAGGCAGGCAAGGTAAAACAGTAACACATCTTTCATCGTTAAACAAATGCAACACACCTTTACATAGTTACAGGAATATTCCACAATGGCCTTGCCTGACTGTCTGTTAAGACATAAGATGATCTTATGCATCTCTTTATAACTTCATAAACTTGTTCACCTCAGGACAGTTCTACATGCTTACAAAGTCTCCTTTATCTGCATTACTATTCCTCCCATATAATTCCCACTCAACAAACTTTAGAACAATGCTATGTCTAACCATGTTGTATACAAAGATTTTCACATTTCAAAAAATAATTGTAAAAGAGATCTCTTACAATGACTTAAATTTATTTCAATTATTCTCCACTTCATATGGTTTTCTAGTCTTTTCCTTCTATGTTCTTTTGGGAATTTCTAATTTATGAGTTACCATCATAACTCATCATAAACAACATCATTGTTAGTTGGTCCCACCAGAGTCCCGGAATTTGTCCACTGTTTTCCAGGCAGTGTCTGTACAGGCTGTAAGTGACACAAGTATCTTTCTTAGCCTGTTATCCTGGTGCTTATTATTCTGGTGGCTCAGATGAAAAGCATGACTGAAGTCTAATACTTTGTCATAGTTAATGGCTGTGAAACAAAGTCTTCTATTTTACAGATGTGAAGAAGTTTCCTAAGTATTTGATATTTCACATTCTTTCCTGTTAAGTCTATTTTAATACTTTAGTCTCTGAATCTCAGTGTAACTTCAGGAGACTAAACATACTACACTAAGCATCATGAATATATCTGACAACTATATGTATGTGTATTGAAGATACAAATCATTAACTTAAAAAACTGTAGAAATATGCCTATCATTGAGTCTTACACTACCACATCCTACCAGACCTTTCTCTATTCAATATTTAAAAAATATCTAGAGGTCAGTGATCTGTTTATATTGCCACTCAACCTTTTCAAAACTACAAAAGGCATTAAGTGCCTTACTACACTCAAGGATTAAGGAAATAATGGTTTATTAACAATAGCTTTTATTTGATGCCATGGACAATTAGGAGCACTAGTGAAAATGTAAGTAACATCAGCATTCTCAGATAAGAATGTATATAAACATGTTCCCAAGTATCTAACAATTATCATAATATGAATTCCTATACATTTTGTCCTAGGAGTTTTCGATCCTTGGAAACAACTGACAAGAATGAGAAGTCTGCATAGTCAAAGCAACAATATTTTTCATACATGCAAAAGATGAGAAAACAAGACTATATAAAATATGCTAACCTCATTTTACTTATATATTTATATACATACATATATATTGCTTAAAATCCACATTGAATTTATTCTGACATTGTTGGTTTTAATTAAATTATGCATATCTTAAAAAGTGAGTATGTATTTAAAGATTTTTAAGTATATGAGTGTTTTGCCTGAATGCACATATGTGTATCACATGTACACTTGGTCCCCACAGGAATAAGGAAAGGGTTTCAGATCTCCTAAAGCTGGAGTTACATATGGTTGTTGAACTGCCATGTGAGTGCTGGGAAAGGAGTCACAGTCCTCTACAAGAGCAGCATGTGCTCCCAACTACTGAACCATTTCTCCAGTCACAGAAAACATCCACTTTAAATATGACATAAGGGAAGGAGATCTATAATAATGGTATTTTTAAGAGGCTAAAGGACAATCCTAAAAGTTAAAGTACAGTCAAACATTTGTAGTAGAAAATCATGTTGTGGATAGTATAATGATATGGATGAATTTATCTGAGGTTCAACTGTATCCTCCGCACTGCTTTCTCAGTGAGTATACTCAAATATATGAGATGCACAGCAGGAGCAACCATCCAAAGTAATTCGAAATTATGTCACATTACTTTCTCTATTTATTATTTTTTGGAAATCTCTATGAGGACATTATTTTTGATTCTTCTCATTTTCTTCCTTAGTTGTTACTCTATAGTTCAGGGTGGCCTCAAATTCCACCTGTGGCCTAGGATAGTCTCGAATTTGCTATACTCCTACCTCAGTCTTGCTACAGGGATTATAGGCAAGAGCCATCATGCCTTGTTGATGTTCCTCAATTTCTAAAATTTCCTGTTAGAAAATAGAATTTTTGCTAAGAGACACATAGCTATCTCACAGCAACAGCTAGTGGGGGAAAAACAACAACTTCTTCTTTGTTCAATTTCATTATTTTTGTTTTTTAGGAGGAAAGGGAAGATGAAAGACCGACTTCAAGAATTAAAACAGAAAACCAAGGAAATCGAACTCTCTCAGGATAGTCGTGTGTTTCCAGAAGCAGAGGAACAAGGGGAACTTGTCCAGCAAGCTGTTATTTATGAGAGAGAGCCAGTAGCTGAGAGACACCTACATGAGATCCAGAAACTGCAGGAGACTATCAACGGCTTTGCTGAGGATGTTCAAAGGTTTGGACAGCAACAGAAAAGTCTGGTGGCTTCCATGAGAAGGTTTAGCCTACTTAAACGAGACTCGACCATTGCAAAGGAGATCAAAATCCAAGCCGAACACATTAACAGAGCACTGGGTGACTTAGTCAAAGAAGTAAAAAAGTCAGAGGTTGAAAATGGTCCATCATCAGTGGTTACAAGGATACTTCAGTCTCAGTATGCCGCCATGTTCCGCCACTTTCAGCAAAGCATGTTTCTATACAATGAAACAATAGCTTCAAAGCAAGAGAAGTGCAAGACATTCATTGTCCGTCAGCTTGAAGTAGCTGGAAAGGAAGTGTCTGAAGAAGAAGTGAATGACATGCTTCAGCATGGAAAATGGGAAGTTTTCAACGAAAGCTTACTCACAGAAACCAGCATCACGAAAGCACAGCTCTCAGAGATTGAACAGAGACACAAAGAGCTTGTGAGTTTGGAGAACCAAGTTAAGGACCTCCGGGACCTTTTCATTCAGATCTCTCTTCTGGTAGAGGAACAAGGAGAAAGCATCAACAACATCGAAGTAATGGTGACCAGCACAAAAGATTACGTTATCAATACTAAAGAGAAATTTGGACTCGCTGTCAAATACAAAAGGAGAAACCCCTGCAGGGCCCTGTGCTGTTGCTGCTGCCCATGCTGTGGCTCCAAATAAAGATGCTATTTTAGAAGCTTCTCAGGGGTTAGGAGTAAGGTTTCCACATTTCAGAGCCTTGTTTTGGTTGTCTTTATTTCATGAGTCCAGTCCCATACATTCTATCACTGCTAACAGCTCATTTTCCCCTTTAACATTTGCCTTTTAAAGTTACAGAAATGCTGAAGCCAGTGACACAAGACAAGCATTTTTCTTAAAATTTCCAGATTAACTACAAAAAGTTAAATTGAAAGATTTTACATTTCTAGAAAAATATTGAGTTCTACTGTTAATTTCTGTAGTCTTAAAATGACTATTCAAACAAGTGGTAACTACTAATCTGGCTTAGTTGAGAATATTTTGGTAATTAAGAGTTGTATAAAACAAAGTCTCAACAGATGCCACGGACCATCAAAATGAAGCTAAAATGCCAAGTAAGTCTTTACCACAGATAGATGAGTAAACCTGATGATCATTACGTCCCGGAAAAACCCACTCATAGACTTGATGAAGAATTTGTCTATGCTTAACAATGGTGACTGTCAAGCATAAGACTTACAGTGAGGTAAGACTGTTTTTATGAACTTGGATGAAAAAACTGAATTAAATACAGATTAGAGGCTTGACAAAGTCAAAGTAAAAGCAACTGTGTTCTAGAACACGTGACATCACTTTGTGATGAAGTATAAATTAATGACGAGTCCTAAGCAGTCTTCAACTTTGAGATGATCCTCCTGACAGCCTCCAGGGAGCTTGGATGACACAGGAATGCACCACTGAGCCCATTCTGATCTTTTTCTTTAAACCTGGTCTTTTATTTTACCCCAGGTGCACTGTCCTTTTCTGTAATGGAGCAGGTCACTCTAGAGGTTCGATACTCTTTGTTTCTTATGCCTGAAGTAAATTTGTTCTTACTATCACCAATTTTATGTTCACTGGAATGTTGTCTCTTGTGGGTGGGTGGATGGCAGACACCATAAAGATATTTAGTCTTCCCACTCGAAGATATGATGTGTCTTCATTTATTTATACATTTATTTTAGTTACTGGAAAACTCTTACCATTCCCTACATATGAAAGCACCATGGCCATCTTTGTGACATTTTTGTTTTGTTTTGCTTCTATTGCTATTTCTCTCCAGTAAATATTTGCCACTGTTGTCAATCAAAGATATAAAATACTTGCCTTTGAGAAAGTCCTTCCCCAACTAGTCACCCTAGCAAGGCCATCCTGATGACCTGTGGCATCTCCTCACCCTTACTTTAAGTATCTGCTTGAACTTAATACCATCTTCTAGATCTGTTTGTTACTTGCTTCTGTGTTAGCATGTGAATTTCCAATGGATTTCCTGTGCAAGACCAACCAATATCCATAGGTCTCTAAGAGTACTTTTTTTTAAATTTACTCAGTTATCTCATTTCCCTTGTACACTGTCTTCCGTCCTTATAATATGGAAGGCTGTGTTTCTGCTCCAACCCATGGCATCTTCATTTGCCCCCGATTCCACCCTTGTGTTTGCAGTTTTTCTTCTCTTTGAAATATCTGGAGTGAGCTCCTCCTCTGGGTCACTGTCTTCAGCACAGTGCTCTGTGTTTCCTGTATCAGGTGCCCTTGAGTGAGCCCTTCACATCTCTTCAGGACTGACTCCTTACTGGAGGGTTCTGTTTAAACTCTTGGCCAGAGCGGTGGAAAAAAAAAAAAAGTGAGAGAATTCATCTGTGACAATTTCCTTAAAGACCCTTAAGACAAAGTTATCAATTGAGAGGAGCAGAGTTAAGGGAGCAAGAGGATGAATGAAACAATCAGGTCAGAGGGAAGGATTGAGTCATCCTGGAAAATGGCAGGAGAATAACCAGGGGGTATGCAGGGCCCATCTGAACGTATTGGGATAACTTTCATGTGATCTCTGCCAGGACACACATGCGCTTTTAACCTCGCCATGCTCAGCAGCTTGAATGCTGGCAGAGAAAGCGAGGATCCCTGTCTGCTCAGGGTGGCGGCTCTCCCACACCTGTGCAATGCAAGAAGTGTGTGTTGGGAAAGCTGGGGAAAGGGAAAGGATTAAATTGCCACGTTACACCATGGTAAAAGTACTACAAAGTAATCTTAGTTCACAAATGTAAATTGAATTTCTTTTTATCCTGTCAGTTACCAAGTATCACTGTGGGAAGAGATGTTTCACGTGTCCCAGCTTCAAATGCTTACAGCAGCATGATGAAAAAGACCCTGTAAGACTGATGAAAAACTCCAAAGCTGACTGGGCAGTTACAGTTATCACCCCCACCGTTCCTTTTAAGTTTCTATTGAGAGTTTTACGTATACCTGGTTACAGCTGTTCTTAAATTATTTATCATGAAAACTAGATTATTAAGAACTATTTAATATGCATCAGTTCAATTATGCCCAGATGGACGTACAAAAAGTTCTGTTAGTATTTTATCATGCTTATAAAGTAAGAATGAAGCCCAGACTTGTTGCAAAGCCGTTAATAATATTCTATTTCATTGCTACATTCTTTATCATAATAATATGAGTTATACATATTAATGCGTTCAAAAATGGCATCCCTGCACGTGCATTATTGTACTTGATCTTATCCACCTTCTTCTGTCTCTCACTCTTCTCTGGTAGCTGCTTTCTATTCTCAAGTTTGCCTCCCTCCAGCCTCCATGGATTCTACATTCTATATAGAAGAGAAAAAAATGTTACATTTGTCTTTCTCTCTCTGGATAATTTCACTTAACCTGGTGAACCGACTTGCTTCCATTTCTTACAAATGACTTGATTTTGTTCTTTTACGTTGCTTCTGTGTTGATTTCCACCTAGGCTAATGCCATATCATAGCTATGGCAAATAATAACTTATGTCTATGTCCTCAATTGCTTAGTATTAACCTAACCTAAGCAACAAGGACAATATATTTAATCAAAAATTAAATATTTTGTATACTTTATTTCCACACTTAATACAAAGTAAAAGCATCAATCTTTTTCTTAGTATAACTATCTGAAAGAGAAAACTAATTATTGAAAGAGTTGATGGAACAACATTAGGAATCTGCTGGCTCTGGAAACAGAAGTCAAAAATAACAAATTAAAAAAAAAGAACGATTAAAGTCCTTTGGGTGCATGTTAACACCACTAAATTGGATTAAGTGGTTTGAATTCATCTAACAGTTTGAAGCACTGTACCATCAGCAATAATATTCCGATCCATTTACAGAACAGTAGGAACACTCTTTCATTATCTGAATCCACATGTCGGCACAGGCATGCACACGCTTGCTCATTTACAAGCAGAGTCATAGAGAGAATTGGTAACTGTCCTGACCGTGTGGTGGTTGCACACCTGTAACCCCTAGCTTGGGCTGGAAGGTTACTGGGACTTCCACATCAGCCTGGGCTACAGTGAGACCTTGTCTCAAGGAAACAAAGAAAGAAAGAGGAAGAAGGGAAACAACAGTAGGGGAGGAGGGAAAGGGCATCTCCTGAGGGCTGTCTGATTCCAAAGGTCTCACCCTCAAAATACTGAAGGTCTGGGGTGAAAATTAAAGCGGGAGGTCCATGGCAACGTGTTGATGCCTACCTAGCAACACAGTCAAGTATCTGTTCTTCGTGAGCTTTAAAGAGTGTGACAGTGACAGCAGCGTGCAGCATGCAGTGACAAAGGCCGGAGTGCAAGTCCACAGTGTGAGCAAATGAAGATGGCAGCCGCGAGAGGATCCACAGCAGCACAGCTCCCAACAACGGAACTGTAGCTTCAGTGTGTAGTGGACTTGGAGGATGAAGCTGATCAAGGCAATCAGACCTGTGTTAAATAATTCCTGGTCATGTGATTTGGGGGTCCACAGTAAAGACCTATCACTATATGGTAAGATGCATCACTATTCTGATAGCTAAACTGGACTAGCACAGGCTGAATTCTTAGTATCCTGAAAAGAAATTTTTGCTGGTGGCTTCAGGATGAAAATATTAGACAACTCGACTGGACTTCAAAAAGGTAACAGGCAGAGTGATTTATTATCTCTCTAAGGACAACTGTCTAGACTACACAAGAAAGAGAAAGTCTACAAATGGCACCCATCTTCCCAGAACATTGCTATCAACTGCAGATAATGAAAATTTCAATATATTAAGTTATAGAATAAAACTTACAGTTTCACTTATTTAATAGGAAATCAAATAGTGCCTTGTTCATTAATTCAACATGTAGTAGGTATTCAGTATTTGTTGAATTAATATAGGCATAGATGCATATATACACAAAAGAAAATATCAAAAAAAAAAATAAATGACTACTTGGTTAAAAAGAACTACTCTATTGGTAGCAAATAGTGATTCCAGGAAGTCACTGTTTAAATATTTTCAAAGACTACTTTAGCCTGTAGGGCTCAGCAAAGGTCACCTTTCATATATACTTCTATTAAAATTTTACTTCTGATTAAATAAAAGTGAGACTCGAGTCTATAGATGAAGTAACTTCATTAATAAAATACTTAAAAGTTTAAAAACATAACCTTTACCAAAAAATAATCCAATAAAGTTTCAACTTTTATAATCAAAATTTCAAATAGACTTGTTTAAAAATCTTCATCTGCATGGCCAGGTGGTAGTGGCACACGCTTTTAATCCCAGCACTTGGGAGGCAGAGGCCAGCGAACCTCTGAGTTCGAGGCCAGCCCCGTCTACAAGAGCTAGTTCCAGGACAGGCTCCAAAGCTACTGAGAAACCTGGTCTCAAAAAACCCAACCTCCCCCACCCCACCCCCCCAAAAAAGATTCCTCTGCTATTGAGATGAACAGAGACAAAACTCCTCTACATTTTTCCTAATTTAAGCACAATGAGTTGATTGTTTTCATTCCTTAACAATGAATTACAAGAAGGGGGACAAAGCGACAAAAAGGCAGTGGCAAAAGCTCAGTAACTTCCACTTGAGAAGTAATGTCAACAATTGAGAAGCAAACTGCTTAAACTTTGCTGTCTCATGTTACAGCGCCATCTGGTGTTTATTGTGTATAAAGGTTATGAATATAAATGTCCTTTTTCAATGTCTTCTACAAATGTTCCAGCTTAAAGTCAAATGCTATAAGCATATGACTGGGAGAATAAAGCTAGTCATACTCATACGTGCAATAGGGAAATATGAAGTCTCAGAGTGAGAAATTAAAGTGTCATTATAGAAGGAACCATTCAAGCAACTTTCAGAAAGTACACTACCAAGAAAAGAAGAGCCGTGGGGAGGTTTCTCAGTTAGTTGGGAAACAGGCTGTGGGTTTATCTGATCAAGGCAGTTCACACCTGTAATCCCAGCACTTGGAAGGTGGAGGTGATGGATCTGAAATTTAAGGTCATCGCTGGCTACATAACAACCTCAAGGACAGCCTGGGCTATCTGAGGTCCTGTCTTAAAGAAAACAATCCCAAAAGAAAGCAAATTAAAAAAGGACAACGACGAAATATAAGTTAAGAGAGGAAGCTAGCTGTGATGGCACAACTCACAATGCTGAGGCAGGAGGATCTAGAGTTCAAGTTCAACCAAAGCTACATGGCAAAATCTTGTCTGGAAAAAGGGTTGAGGATGCCGCTAATGCTCAGAGCATTTGCCTAGCATGCCACAGGGTCCTAGCACCCCACCTAGGGGTGGGAAATGAAACATATCCGACAACCTTGTTTAAGATGCAAAATTTAATACAAAGCAGGCCACCAAATAAAACAAGAGTTCATATTTAATTTTTCAAGATATCCTATTAGTAAGCTTGCTCATAACACTGAGTAAGTTATTTAATCACTCTCAAAAGCAATATAACATTACAACTGACAGGTAATTGCACACATTTATTATACTAATAGATGGTCACCTTGGTTATTCAATATTCTGTAAGAGACAAACATCTCTTGCTAATGCTCCATTACTTACACCAGTATAGGCTTTCCTGATATCCTAGGATGTCTTAGCACTTCTGACATTGTCTCTTTTGTCTCTTCCATTCTCTCTTCATCACTGGAATCCACAACAAATATTACCCCATAGGACTCAGCGTAATAATTCTTCCAAATTCCCCGAATTCTTTTTCCACCTCCCAAGTCAAAGATGGTAACTTCAAACTTTCCTTGTCTAAGGTCGATTTTAGAAAATCCAACAGTGGGAGCTACGTCTTCAGGATGCTCTGTTTCAAATGATACAAAAAGAGGAATCTTTAGACTTTAATATCAGTTTATCTCTACAACATAAATTATATAACAAGTATCATGCATTTGTCATTACAAAATGGAAAAATCACTTGCTGATGCCATAAATACAACTTTGAAACACACGTGTGTGAGAGAGGGGTTAATAATGTAAATATCCAGCTAGTATTTTCACTATACACAGATAGGAATTTGTTTCTGTTTTTTTCATTTGTATTTTGTTGTTGTTTTTCAAGACAGAGTTTCTCTGTGTATCACTGGCTGTTCTGGAATTCACTCTGTAGACCAGACTGGCCCTGAACTCAGAGATCTGCCTGCCTCCTGAGTGCTGAGATGTAACACATTCATGTACCACCACCACCTGGTTGTTTCTTTGTTTTACCTAATTACTATAATCTTAACAATTAACATGAAATGGGTACTTAATAATTGTATGTTGAAAGAGTGAATGCGGTATTGTGTTAAGGTTATTTATGCTCCAATCAATTTTAACCTTTCAACACCACATCAGTCACTCAAGGGTTCTATTACAAATTCTATGGAAAAATAAGCAAAGGCAAGAATGCTTAAAAAGAAAGGAAATAAAAAGAATCAAAAATGGAGAAAGCTGAAAAGAATGAGGCAATTCTTTCTAAATCAGAAAAGTCTACAATTGGAATGAAGAGAATTTTAAGGGCATACTGCAAAGAGAGCTCAAATTCAGACCTTCTATAGGAACATTTTTCTTATATGTTCCAATAAATTTATAATTGGTGGGTTTGGGGTGAGAAGAGAAATTTTATTGATGACACCAAGCAAAGGGGGCACATGGCCACACCTGCGAAGGGGAGCAGTGACCATGAGGTTTAGAAAAGCCCCCTGAGAGACATAAGAATCATTCCAGGAGATAGGTCTAGGCTAAGGCTGGGGAGCAAGGGGACCCTAAGAGTGAGAAATCAAACAAGAGCAAGGGACTAAACATTGGCAATGAAGCAAATTCTCAACAGGTTTTCTCTGGTTTGTTTTTGTCTGCAGCTGGTGATCTCCTGCTTCAGTTTCTCCATGTCTGTATGACAAGGACGCCCTACGATGCCTGGCAAATCTTCTGTGAATACGGGTGGAAGCCAGACCTCACAGGGTCCTGAAAGCTGCTGAAGGCCCTCAGCATATCAGTTATGCAGTTCCATGATTAAAGTAGTGCTCTACTAACTGAAAATGAGTGATTGGCCATTTCTCAGAGAGCTAAGAGAATTAAAACAAAAGATAGAAGAGAAAGCTTATTAAATATTAATAGACTATAGATTCAGTGGCTAAGAGAAAACGTTAACGTCACATGTGCCTCTTCCATCTCTCCCTATTACTAGAATATGCTATAAATCTCTCTCCACAGGGCTTTGTTTAGAGCTGTATGGTTCAAGTGTAGAAAGATGCCATGAAAGACTTTTAATTTTTATGTGATAGTAAATGGATTAAAACTCAGTTCCTCGGTTGTACCAGCTATATCTCCAGTTCTTGGGAACAAAATGTGGTTAGTGGCCCACCCTACTATATGGACTCTATATAAACTATTGCCATCATTCAGAAATTTCTATTAAATGACACTGGTTGTCATTGAATAAAACATTCACTGTGATAAATCTGCGTGGAGTGTTCTAGATTAATTACAGCCGAGAAACAGGCTTGCAGAGTGCCACACTCCCTCTCAGGAAGTATCCAAGAGCAGCTTCTGCATTGCCTGGCACACTTCGCAGAGCCATTATAAGTCACGTTTCTGCTGCTCATTTCTCCATTACGAAAAAGGCAAAAGGGCAAGGCTAGACCTACTAAAAGGAACCTGCCTTTTCAGAAGCAGGATCACACAGGAGCCCAAATGGAGAGCTAAATGCTGGGGAGGTAGCTCCATTCGTAGAGTGCCTGCCTGGCAGCCTGAGTTAGATCCAAGCACTAAATAAATAAGGCAGTGTGGTGTTTGACTATAAACTCAGCATTTGGGAGGTGTAGGCAGGAGAATTAGCACTCTGACTAAGAAAAATAATAACGATGAGGTCAATCACAGCCAGAAAAGATTGTTGTCTTTGCGTGTGAACTGAAAGACACTGCCAGGAAATGAACAATGGAAATGCTGTGCTGGAGCATGGGCAAGAGAACTAAACGAGAGCAAACGCTAACTTGGTGAAAGAACATTATTAGGGACCAGGGTGCAAACACAAATAGGTTATGGCTGTCATCCCCAAAGAACATTGAGAAATACGAAAACCTCAGGGCTGGAGAGATGGCTCAGAGGTTACAAGCACCATTGCTGTTCCAGGAGCATGGTTTCATTTCCAGCATGCACATGGCAGCTCCCAGCTGTTTCTCACTTCCGTTCTAGGAGATCCAATTCTTTCTTCTGGCCTCTGTAGGCACCAGGCACTTAGCAGACATTTAGGGGGGAAAAACCCACCCATACAAATAAGAAAACAACTGTTTAAAATATAGAGATTAAGTATTAATGGAATGACACAAAATGTGAATGCTCTGTGAAAAGACAGACATGATCCTAAGATGAAGGGAGGGACTGATATGGTCAAGAGAGGCTTCAAAAACTACGGAGAGTAAGAATAAAGTCTCAGAAGTAACACAATTAGAGGTGAGAAAGTACTAATCTAAGCAAGAGAACAATGCAAGCAGAGATAAAGTGGTCGTAATAGTCCTAGTAAATCAGTTAGTATCTGTGTAATCAGGTACAGGTGACCTTTTACAGGTAAATCCATTGACACAGAGATACATGGTCCTCAATCTTAAGACTTACAGTAATGTGTATGTTAAGACAAAATAAATCTAAGATAAAATACAAATACATAATAAATATTTATTAGGTATTTCTTACATTATTATTAATTATTACACATTTATTATTATTATTAATTAGATTACTAATCTACAGAGCTCTTGGTCTATTGTTAAAAATATATGTGTTTGCATTTGTGTGTGTATGCATATATATATACACACACATTTTATATATATCAAATGATTATAATATAGTGAAAATATGCTAAAACCAAACAAAGCCAAGGATAATCCACAGAAAAAAACTAACCTTTTACCCAAAATAACATAATTTCCTATTAGGAAACAGTATTGGATAAAAATCCCTAGGACTATTTCTTTAGTCTGGGTACATGAATGTTTACAAAAGACATTGATTCCCAATCGCAGAGGCAGTGACCAGCCATGAGAGGAGCGTCTAGATTAAA